TCCATGCAGTGTTACAGCAAGAATTTTTGTTTCCTATTCAGGTACTGGCAGCTTGGATGATGTGATGATTACTATAGCTGCACCCGCTTGGACAAGTAATGTCACGCCAAACGTAATAGTCCCAAGGTTGCACGGCAAGGCAAATACGCCAATAACCGTGCAGTGCACCCTGATTGCTCGGCCTTCGATTCCACCTTCCGAACTTTGCGCCAAGGTATCTGCGATCTTTATTAAGAACGATATCCCACGCTGCTCATCAATGGAGTTTCGACTTCCTATGTCTCTCGCATGTAGACTGATCCTACCTCCGAAACGCGAGGCCACGTATAAGCTAACAATTCAAACTGATAGAGAGCCAGTGAGTAACCGCACTCTTGCGATATGTTTATATCAAATGTTGATCAGGTCTTATTGAGCTCCGTCTTTAGTGACATGTTCCTATGTGAGAGCGGCACTGAGAGTACAGATCTTGTGTCGTCTAACGCCGTTTCTTTTGCTTATTTGTTCCACGTGCAAGAAGAATTGGACGTTACTGAGAGTGAATGCAGCACAACCGACCCTCGGGTTCCAAACAAGGCCATAGCCACGATTTTACTATCGAGGAATTCGGGTCGCTACCGTGTACAGTCCACCTCCATGTCAGCCCTGTGGCTTGTTTTGGACGAGCTTGCTGCTCGTCTAAAATCGCGGTGGGCTCACAGTGGTGGAATAAAGATGGCTTACACTGAACAACTTCCTCTGTCGGACTTCTATGCCACTTTGGACAGACACCATAATTCGCGTAGCGCTGTCCGTCGCGCTGAAGCAATGCTAAATGACTCCGCCCAGCAATATAGAATTATCCAGAAGAGACTTCTAATTCGCTTCAAAGACAGTCGCCCGGCAAATCTCGATAAATTAGATTTAATATTATGGCAAACACACTCGAATCTCCTTTATTTGGCTTCGTGTGTAGAGGTTGCTCATGATGCTCGTGATCATGCAGGGCACATTCTGGCATGTGGAACGCAGTTGCTGCTCTTGTTAATGCGAATGCGTTTCACTCTATCCCTGGCAGATTTTGATGTTCTTCGCAGCCATTTGAGTCCGGCGGTGATGGAATGTAACCACGGATCAGTAGACGATTCGTTATCGGGCTGGGAAGAGACTACAGATGCTTCCCTGACATATCTCCTTAAAACTTCCCTGTTGAAGTCCTACCCTGTGTGTGGTCGGCGCAATGACCATGAGCCAGAGCCTATTCCAAAGACAAACATACCTCCAGTGCCACTGGCGTTTCCTGTGACGACAGATAGACTAAAGAGGCATGTTGCCATGGTCTGTGACCGACTTGCGCATGGTCTAACTTTCACGAGCAATCGTGGGGCGCCCCAGGGACGCGCCTCAGCATCAGTCAGGTAGTAGATCGTGCCACTATTTCCAGTCATCAAGCCAAGCACCAGGCTGTAGCTTCCCCCGCGCTGCAAAAGCGCGAAGGGAGCAAGGGTGCAAAACCCAAGCCCCCACCCCTGACCGACAAGCGCTCATTCTCGAGTATAAAGCGCCACTACCGGGGGGGGCTTGTAGAGGGCCGTGGGGTGGGCTTCCCAGTCCCCACCGGCCCCACCGCCTAGGGCACTAGGGTATTAAAGGAAAGCGTCGTGACGCACTCACTTAGCTCATCCGGGGACGCCGGTCCCCCCTCACAAACGCTAATCTAGGACAGCTCGCGTCGGCGAAACGGCGCCACGGGGCCCGCGAGCCCCCCCCCCAAAGAGCAAAAGCAACAGCAGCATTGAAATTTAAAACAACATGAC